CGTTGTGACTACAGGGGGCATTTTGTTAATTTTTCTTGTGAGCAGGATAACTTTTGTATGTGTGGATGGAAGTTAATGAAATTTGATAGGCATATTACTGTCGTGGTCTCCAAGATTGAGTTCAAAGATGAGAGTCGTGGAGGTCGTTATGTCCCCGTAATAGGACCTTTTGTGTTTAGAAATCCCCCACCTACATCTGCTTGGAGACAGCCGACAGCTGGATATAGCCGGGGAACCCCATAATGGGATGGGATCAGATGACGTTACATTGAGGGATTGTACTATAACTTCAGCAGGGGGAGGATAGGTTGGACATATGTCAGGTTATTTTCTACGGCCACACCAAGTAATTGCTATGGATGACGTCCACTGGAGACCTTAAATCTAATTACCTTAAATTTAAGGCAAGCGCGCAATAAAAACACGAAGGGCCGAAAAACGAGATGCCTAGATTTGGAATATACTAACTGTAGAAGTACAAATGTTAGGACACAAAGAACACAAGAAACACATAAAGACAAATTAACAAAACAGCAGTAGTCACCCTGTTCTGATTCTTTCCTTTATAACATCTTCTCTTATATTTTGCGGCGCTGTCGTGACACTTTCAACACAGTAAGAATTTCTTGAACGTTTTTTTTCCAGTAACAGTCCAAACTCAAATAACGTGGGGGGGGGGGGCTAACACGGGTGACGACGCATCTGTATAATCTGCGGCAAACCGTTTCAGGGTGTTCTGTACCATAAAAATAGTACAGAGATTCTTTTGTTCTTTAGACCAAATTGATTATTAAAAAGAGTGAAGAATATAGTATACGCATGTTAATTTCTCTAGAACGATGTACCTCTGACGAGGACATGAGATCTCCGACCTCTAGTTACTGAGAGAAGTTGCGACGTCGACGTAGTTGTAAAATGGCATTGAAAAGAGGTGATATTCTAAAGCTGTTCATTGTTTGACCGCTGTAGCCATCTGTGTGCAACTTGGTAAATTGTGGGTTAATTCACACTTTTCTTTCTTCCCCAGACCCACTCTTTCTTAAGGAGAAAGCCGCAGCCCAAGCCCCCTCCCGTCTTCGTACAGATCGACCTTCTGCACGAAAAAGACGTCTTCGTAAGTTCTTTAAGATTTGCAAGTCAATAAGACGTTGCTTCGTTTAAACCATTTGATTGATTGATTGATTGATTGATTGATTGATTGATTGATTGATTGATTGATTGATTGATTGATTGATTGATTGATTGATTGATTGATTGATTGATTGATTGATTGATTGATTGATTGATTGATTGATTGATTGATTGTGTGTACATTCAACGTGGGAAGCCATGGTACTGAACTGCTTTCTATAGATTGATTTCACTTATTTGTTGTTTTCTTGGTTTTATCATTTGGTTACAACTAACAAGAATTACACATTTCAGTTCATTTTAAAAACCTCCCTTCAACTATACCATTTGTTTACAAATTTTATCTACTTTCTGTTATTTTTATTGTATTCTTACACTCATATAACACTCATATTTGTAAGATCACAACTAGCTGCTAAAATGATGTATCATATTAACTGCTGTATTCTCATTTAGGGTCTGACAACTTTAAAGTTCGACTCAGGAATCGACGTCAAACAACCCAGCGTTTCACTGGTAAGAAAAATGATTTTACAAAAAAGTCTGCCATTTTGGGGAGTATTTCGAATAAAGGTTCGAACCATGTACCAAAAATACCAAGGCAAGCTTAAGGAGGGGTGGTGATGAAAGAAAAAAAAATGTTCACTTGACTATCAGTAAACAAATCATCGCATTTGAGTGATTTATTTTTATTTACAACTAGAAACGTAACATTTGCAAAGCAAATGCATAATCGAATGAAAGCTCATCTGTGTTGGTAGAATACATAGTTAAAGAGTTTGACTTGTTCCAACACAATAAGGAGAACTCACCATAAATTTTCGGCTGATCCCGTCAACCTTCGTCAGATTTGTGATGCAATCGCTGACTTTCCGGAAGTCGGAAACGTGATGACGTCAGGAGTGCAGTTAACACTGTCAGGAGGCCATTAACACTGCTCCCAATCCCCCACTGTGGTGGTATAGGTACGTGGACGATACACATACAAAACTAAAAAGAGCACACGCTGACGAGTTTACTGAATACCTTAATAGTTTGGACCCCGACATAAAATTCACCACAGAAGAAGAACAGAACAAAACCTTACCTTTTCTAGATACCCTTACAGTGGCGAAAGACGATGGTTCGCTAGACATTAGGATCTACAGAAAACCCACCCACACGGACCAATATCTGAACTTTAGTTCTAACCACCCCCTTGAGCACAAACTGGGTGTCATTCGTACATTGTTTCACAGGGCGGACACCATTATTACCAACCCCCAAGATAGGGAGGCTGAGAAAGAACACATCACTCAGGCCTTGCTAAACTGTGGCTACCCCAAGTGGGCAGTTTCCAAGGCAACTGCCCCCAAACGTTCTACAACTGATAGAAACCGTCAGTCAAACTCTTCTACGAGGCAGAACGGAGGTTTACTCGTCCTACCCTATGTTAAGAACACCTCTGAAGCTTTACGGAGAATCTTCGGGACACATGGCTTAAAAACGTGTTTCAAAACGACCCGTACGTTACGACAGCTATTAGTGGCCCCCAAAGACAGAACCCCCAAAGAACAAAAGTGTGGCGTGATTTACCACATTCGGTGCGCAGGCCAAAATATCAGAGGACCTTGCCCAGAGACATACATAGGGGAAACAGAACGGTCTCTCAAGACTAGATTTCTGGAACACAGGCGCCCCAGTTCAAACACATCGGAAGTGTCGCAACACATACACATCGAGTCCCCCGGACATACAGTTACATTGGACAAGGTGCGCATTCTAGATACGGAGCAGGATTACTTTGTGAGAGGCGTGAAGGAGGCAGTTTACATCAGGGCCCACCAACCCTCTCTGAACCGTGATGGTGGGAGATACCGTCTTCCCGCCACTTTTGATGCACTCCTGACGTCATCACGTTTCCGACTTCCGGAAAGTCAGCGATTGCATCACAAATCTGACGAAGGTTGACGGGATCAGCCGAAAATTTATGGTGAGTTCTCCTTATTGTGTTGGAACAAGTCAAACTCTTTAACTATGCAAATGCATAATGTTTACCTTCGCATATGGTCTGCTCTGTTAATTCTTACTCGAACAAATTCATATATATGGTCATACAGGAGTCTGAATCCCTCTTGCTATAAAATTGCAACATGATATAATCCAATACCAGTTACTATGGTGACAGACGTCTGGTTCAGGCCATTGACTTTATTAGTTTGGAACGGAAGAAGAATAAGAGGAAGAAGAAACAGAGCAAAAACAATATGTTTTCCTTCTGAGTACTACTAGGTAAACATAATAAAACCTCCCGTTCGTCAGATTCAGGCACAACCTTTTTGGCGACGTCTCAGGGAGGAGCCTAATGGTACAGTATTGTGTGCAGTTTGCAAGAATTCTAGGAATGGTACAGGCATTTTGTCCACAGGAATGGAATATCCTCAGGCATGTCTCTGACCCACATCTATGCCCACATTCCTGCAAACCCTTGGGAAGACCTCTCTTCCCCGGATGGCCCTACTTTCTGTGACCCCGGGGCTCGTTCACTATACACTCAGGGGAGGAGTGCACTGTATCTACCTAGACTTAACATGTACCAAGTCTTCCTCAAAATCATGAAATGATGGCAGTACCATGCAAACAATAACCCTAAAAGCAACCACCGGCGCCATGGCAATGTATGTTTTCATTGCCAGTCTTGTTTCTATTCCAACTCAGGTCAGTAAAGGTGCAGAATGTATCATGATCTCCAAGAAGTTTTTCCTGGAACACGCCAACGAGAAGGTCAAAGCGTTCCTCCGGAAGAACATGCGGCCGTACCCTTCCCAGGATTCCCTGCAGGGCAACCTACAGGACTACACCAACTGGGCCTTCTTCAAGGACGAAACAGTCAACGACATTCTGGGGAGAAAAGCCCAATTCTGATCAAACCATTGAGGCCGCCATGTTTCTCTAGATTATTAAAAACTTAAACTTTTCTCCAACTCAAAATTTGACTCACCAGAAATTTTCGACTGAATCACTCAGTCTCCCTCAGCTATCTGACCCAAATGCTGTGGACACGTGATTTTTCCCAAATGTGACGTCAAAGGGTCGGAGGTTGTCTGAAGTCGATATCGCCCCCCAAGGAAGACAAATGTGGGGTTATCTACCACATAAGTTGCCAGGGAAACACTAACAGAGGCCCCTGTCGGGAAACTTATATCGGGGAATCTGAGCGCTCACTAAAAACCAGGTTTCTAGAACATAGACGACCCAGTTCTGTTGCATCTGAGGTGTCACAGCACATCCACATAGAATCACCGGGACACACAGTGGATCTGGAGGGGGTCAGAATCTTGGATACCGAACAGGATTACTTCAAGAGAGGTATAAAAGAGGCCATATACATCAGGGCACTTCAACCATCGCTCAACCAGGACGGGGGGCGATATCGACTTCAGACAACCTTTGACCCTTTGCTGACGTCACACGTGGGAAAAATCACGTGTCCACAGCATTTGGGTCAGATAGCTGAGGAAGATTCAGTCGAAAATTTCTGGTGAGTCAAATTTTGAGTTGGAGAACAGTTTAAGTTAATTTTTTCATAATGTTTCTATAGAGTTAGAGGTGAAAATACCAAGGAGGTTGAATACATGTTAAACCTCCTTGAAAATACTGACTGAAATTCTGGTCGGATTTCTACAAAGGTACAAGTCTGTCCAGAGGCCACCATGTTCCATAGGGTTAGAGGTTAAAATACTGAGTCAGAGGTCAGCAAAAAATGACAAAATGGCGACATTTGACTGTTATGGGCGCCGCCATTTTACCTCTGGGTCGTGGGTCAACGAATATGTGCTCGTCAGTCTACTACAGAGGCGCTTCTATGATATAAGCTATGCATATTAAGGATAGGACGTTCTCATTTGCAGTAATCATCAAAATCTACAATCTGTAACTTATTTTTGTATCAAATATGTACAGTCAAATGTAACGAAGACGGAAAAAGAACAGTCTTGAATCTCTTTGGTAGCGTTTTCAATATATTGTATCTTGTATGCTTGCTATCAGCTATTGCCCATTTAATACCTGGATAGTATGAAGAGTTTCAATACGTCAATATTTTATAGCTAAAGCTAATTTGCCATGACGGAAATGGACCGTTTGTATGATAATGATATGTTAATTTATTCTACACCTTTGAGTGTAGAGCTCTTTTTACAGATATCTCTTGATATAGAAATGGATATAATTCATATATATAATATAATGGTTTCTTGACCTTTCAAACTAAATTCCACACATTATACGTATAATGTAATTTTGGACGTTTTTTCCGTGCAAAACCTATGATTTGGAGCCTGAAACGCGTTATACAGGCGAATTTTAACAAAGTTACTATATCTTTTGGAAATGGTCGGAAACAATTTTCTTGCATTCCTAACGTCCCTCTGAGGTGTTAGAAGTGCAAGAAAAATACTCCCGACCTTTCAACAAAAATTCCGCACATTATACGTATAATGTAATTTTGGACGTTTTTTCCGTGTAAAACCTATGATTTAGAGCCTGAAACGCGTTATACAGGCGAATTTTAACAGAGTCACTATTTCTTTCGGAAATGGTCGGAAACAATATGACTGGCATCTTAAATTGTAAATATTTTCTGCCTGAAAAAAGTTTCAAAAAGCTTTCAGCAGGTTAAAAAACCGTGTATCGTTCACTGTACATGTCGCTCCGATATTATCAAATAAAACATGCATGACAGCACTATGTGTTAATACAGGCATTGCGTCATTTCTCTGATGTATTATTTTACTAAGGAGTCAATTTCTTATTTACATTTTGTTTGCATATTCATATTGTATAGACGGTTCATTTAACTGCCATCGAATTGTAATTTCTCTGTTAGAGTCTAAAAATTGTTACATACTTGTAATGTCACGTTACTTTAAATTTAAGTGCTTGGAAATGTCAAATAAGTCGCCAGAAAGTAGAAAATATTCAACCCCCATTGTGAGCCTTCTGTGTTTTCCCCATTCCCGAAAAGTTGCAGATTATGCACCTTGACGGTCGTTTTCCAGAATGTCCGAACGGCGGTTGGGATTGGAACTGCAGTTTTGGCTCTGATGGGGTATTTCATGGATATCTTTATATATGATTAAGAGAGTGCCAAAAATGACATCAACAAAGAAAAGTATGCTTTAATTGCTTTAATTATAATTCAATTGTCATTTTTCAGTACAAAAATACTTCGATTTAGATGAAAGCAGTCTCATATTTCGTACAACCGCTTGGTCATTTGAACTACAAATATTTATATATTTACATAAATATTTACATACACCAATATAAATGTTTGGTAAAAATATTCGATGTATTTACAAATTCGAAATTTGACATTTGCTTTAAACAATATCGTGATATTTACCCATTTAAATAACCATTCATGTTCGACTTCATGTACAGCTATAAAATACGAGGTATAAATGCTCTTTTTGATATAACATAAATATGTACAGTCTCGTATTTCTAACCCTTATATACATTTGAAAACATGTACATCTTAAGATCATTCACCGATCTTAAAAAACCTTGGCCATGACCTAGCTTCGTTTCTAAGCGTGCCATAGCCATAGGACGGAACAAGCCTAGTATCCTGTATTTTACGTGAGTCACCCAATAAGCTATGAGCTCAAAACACGAATATTAATTAGCCAGCTACTTAGTGACGTAGGGTTAAATTCGTTGGGAATTAACAGGGTCCGGACCCAGCATGAAAGTGCATCTGTGTCGGTACAAGTCTTTATAAAATAAAGACTAAACTTTCCGAATTTTCAGCTGACTCCTTCAACCTTGTTCACGGAATGGACCAGTCTACTCTTGGAACGTGACGTCTACATTAGTGCTCACAGACCTACCCTGAACAGAGACGGGGGGCGACACAAGTTATCTGGCACGTATGACCCGCTACTACGGTCACGTGTCTCTGACATCATGTTCACGTTCCAAGAGTAGACGGGTTCGTTCCGTGAACAAAGTTGACCGAGTCAGTCGAAAATTGGGGTAGGTCCCAATTCATTGCAGTGTTGGCAGAGACAGTCATAACGGGTACAGACCTATTTGTGGAGAACATACAGACTTGAAATAGAAAGGCCAATATTTGCTTTGGAGCAAATACAGCGATGGGTTCACCACATTTTACCACATGGCAGAGAAAGAATGAGAAACACAAGGGAAAACAATGATTTACATTGATATAACTATAATATGAAGTAAAATACAACTAAAACAACAGTTGGATAGCTATTCCCTACTTTATTGGTTAGGATTTTTAATTGTATAATGCAAACTGTTGATTTTCAAATAAAAAAAACGTCCAATGACCCGGCATTCCAATGCTGGAGCAGGAAAGCTTG